GTGCTGAAGAGGGATGAAGGGTTATGAGAGGTCACACCAGAGACTTCTGACCCAGTCCTGCCCTCTGGTGGGGCTGGCATTTGGATGTGTGCTGTTCCATGCTGCTGGCATTTGGGTTTGTGCTGTTTTATGCTGCTGGAAGTGTCCCATACTCCCTGAGGCCCCTACCACAGCAAAAGGAAACCCTCTCCTGGCTCTTAGAGCGCAGATAGGCAAGAGCCTGGTGGAATTACAGACCTTGAGGAAGAAAGCTGTCCTGAGAGAGTCAGCAGGGGTCAGCCCAGGGACCTCACATGCTGGGATGGTTAAATGCACAGTATCCATCAGTAGAATGCAGTGAGAGGATTGAAAACTGTTGAGTATCACACAGATATTGATAAAGCACAAGTGGAATATCTGGAAATGAAAACTATAATCACTGAAATTAAAAACCCAGTGGGCAGATTATGTAGCTTATTAGACACGACATAAAGTATTGGTGAATTGGAAGTTCTAACAAAAGAAACTGCCTGGAGTGGGGCACAGAAAGAAAATGCTGGGTGTGGTGGCTCCCACCTGTAATCCCAGCACTTTGGGAGGCCGAGGTGGGTAGATCACCGGAGGTGATGAAGTTGAGACCTGGCTGGCCAACATGATGAAACCCTGGCTCTAGTAAAAGTACAAAAATTAGCCTGGTGTGGTGGTGCACACCTGTAGCTTCAGCTACTCAGGAGGCTGAGGCAGGAGAATCAGGTGAACACAGGTGGCGGAGGTTGTGGGTGACAGAGCGAGACTCCCTTCTCAAAAAAAAAAAGAGGAAGAGAGAGAAAATGAGACGGGGAGCTATGGAGGAGAGAATGTGGCCGAGCTGCAGAGAGAGCAGGGGCAGGGAGGTGGCAGCTCCAGAGGGGTTTTCAGGGTTCATAAAGACACAATTATACGCAGGAGAAAGAACAATAATTACACATTTAAATGTGACTCTGATGAGAAGTTTTCGGAACAGCAAAGGGAAGATGTTAAAAGTGGCCAGATGTGGTGGCACATGCGCCTGTGGTCCCAGCTACTCCAGAGGCTAAAGGGGGAGGATTGCTTGAATCTGGGAGGCCAAGGCTGTGGTGAGCTGAGATTGCCTCACTGCACTCCATCCTTGGCTACAGAGCAAGACCTTGTCTCAAAACGCAGCCAGATAGAGAAGATGTTCCTTGCAAGGCACCCTCGGGCAGGTCACTGCCCCCTATCCCACCTGCACAGCACCTCCAGGAGGGTCACATCCCACCAGCACAGAACACCTCCAGGTGGGTCACAGCCCCCCATACCACCTGCACAGAGCACCCCTAGGCGGGTCACAGTCCCCTATCCCACCTGCACAGTGCACTTCCAGGAAGGTCACATCCCACCAGCACAGAGCACCTCTAGGTGGGTCACAGCCCCCCATACCACCTGCACAGAGCACCCCTAGGCAGGTCACAGCCCCCTATCCCACCTGCACAGTGCACCTCCAGGGAGGTCACATTCCCCCATCCCACCTGTACAACACCTCCAGGTGGGTCACAGCCTCCCATACCACCTGCACAGAGCACCCCGAGGTGGGTCACAGCCCCCTATCCCACCTGCACAGCACACCTGCAGGGAGGTCACATTCCCCCATCCCACCTGCACAACACCTCCAGGTGGGTCACAGCCTCCCATACCACCTGCACAGAGCACCCCTAGGTGGGTCACAGCCCCCTATCCCACCTGCACAGAGCACCTCCAGGGAGGTCACATCCCCCCATCCCACCTGCACAGAGCACCCCTAGGCGGGTCACAGCCCCCTATCCCACCTGCACAGAGCACCTCCAGGGACATGCTGGTGGTCCCTAGAGGCAGCTCTGGATGCTCTCACTCTCTTCTTACCTACAGACAGCACCCCACACCCGCTGTGCTCTGCACTGTGGAGGGGCAGGGAGTAGGTTTTGCATCCTCCTCTCAGAGGGCCCTTTCTCAGGGGCGCACAGCTCTGGGTCAGCCCAGGCCAGGGGAGGAGGGCAGTGAGGCAGTGCATGTCTCCTCTGTGGGACCTGTTTCTGTGGCACCTGAGGGTGCGGGTGCCTTCGATGTGTGTGCACGTCAGGGACCCACTCATCTGCTCTCAGACCATGGCGTTGCTGGGCTGGAATGGAGAGCAGACATTGTCCAGCCATGGGCTGTGGTACACGGGGGTCTCTCTCCAAGGGTGGGACTTCTGTGGTGCGTTGCCTCTACCCCAGAGGCCACTGGAGTGGGCAGTGTCTCAGGCCTGACAGACATGCAGGTTTGCTGGACTCCCGAGCTTGTGTGGGGTTTGGTGTGTGTTGTGGGCCTTTTGGATGCTCATAGCTGCAGGTGCTTGCCTCACAGTGGAGAAATTGGCATCCTGGGCGATCTGATTTCATATTGGACTTTTTTGTGTTTGGACAAGTAAAATGTCCTGTTTTGGGACTGGGGGAGCTGGGTGAAAAGTTTCTGCTTCCCGGGAGTGAGCTCTTCCTAAGTTTGTGGCAGACTGAGGTCCCTGTGGTGGCTCCAGGCACCACAATTCACCAGGATGCTGGCGGCACCTTGCATGGGAATTGCTGGGAGCCAAGTAAAGCTGTCCTGGCCGTGTGAACTCAGTGTTTCTTCAACAAAGCTCAGAGCAGAAGCAGAGGGGAGGCCTGGTGGGAAGCAGGAGGGATGTGGCCCGGACCCTAAGGGACGAGGCTCCACCCCAGAGCCCCCCCAGGAATTCACTGGGGGCAGAGTCCTGCCCAGTCTGGACATGGATGCCTGCTGCATGGGAGACGGCAGGCCTGGGGCTTGCAGCCACCCTGCAGGAGTGTGGGACAAGTTGTGTTTGCCACAGAAAGCAGCTCTTCGCTGCCCATGGATCGGGCGTGCAGTGCGGGTTCCTGGCCTGCCAGTCTAAAGGCTGACTTCTAAGGAATGCCTCTGCCTCTGCCTGTTCACATGACACATCTCCTAGGATCCTTTGATAACTTAAGAACGTGGACACATCTGCCCTTTGGGATCTGAACATACTGCCGCCCAAACCCTGCACCACCTCCTTCCTCTGTCCACCCTGTGTCCACACACAGCACAGAGTGGGGCTGGCCCACTTGCTTTTGATTCTGATGGTTTGCAGGGGAGTGAGAAGATGCCGTGTACTCCCCGGTGTCTCCTGTGCTGTGTGCACCTTGCCAAAGTCTGTGTGTCTCGGGGATTCTGCTTTCCTCATGTTCTCAGCAGGCTTCATGTCTCTAAAACAGTAACTCCTCTGCTCTGGGCGACGGAGAGAGCAGGCCTCTGAATGTGCGCGGCTAGGTCGTGGAGGTGAGGGCCCTGCAGAGGTTCTCAGCTTCTTGTCCAGGCGACCGTGGGCCCCCATCCCAGAGAGAGGAGGACTTGAGGACTTTGGGTGGGGGACCTGGGGTCCCGGAGCACGGGGTTTCTCCAGCACCTTCGCTGCCACTTTCCTAGAGGGAGGCAGCAACGCGCCTGCTTCTCTTGCTGTTCAGACGTGACTGTGGAAAGCAGCCTAGGGAGAGCCGGCCGGCGAGCAGCATGGAGAGTGCAGGGAAGGCATGGGGCGTGCGCAGAGACCCACGGCCAAGCGCCCGACTCGGCAGCTACGACCCAAGCTCACTGCCAAGGTGTGGATATGCCAGTGGCAGGGCTGCCTCCCCACCACTGTGTTTCCCAGGTTATATGAGGGGGCTGGCACCAGAGCCCAAGTGCTTTCTCAGATCTGTGCATTGAGGACCCTTTAAAAACTAGCTGGTGGCCGGGCGCGGTGGCTCAAGCCTGTAATCCCAGCACTTTGGGAGGCCAAGGCGGGTGGATCACGAGGTCAAGAGATCGAGACCATCCTGGTCAACATGGTGAAACCCCGTCTCTACTAAAAATACAAAAAATTAGCTGGGCATGGTGGTGCGTGCCTGTAATCCCAGCTACTCAGGAGGCTGAGGCAGGAGAATTGCCGGAACCCAGGAGGCGGAGGTTGCGGTGAGCCGAGACCGCACCATTGCACTCCAGCCTGGGTAACAAGAGCGAAACTCCGCCTCAAAAAAAAAAACTAGCTGGTGGTGGTGATGGCAGCCTGCAGTACTTGGGGTTTTGCCCATGAGAGTGACGCGGGTCGATGTGTCCAGTTGGCCCACAGAACATACTAATCCACATTCTCGGCATGCCACAGACCTAATTCTTAAGAAGAGAGTCTAAAATAACTGTTTAAAGAATTAGGGTGGGTGGGCAGTGTCTTCTTAGGAAAATGATGGACACATCAGTGGGCACATTCATGGGGCCTTTGGTGGTGAACAGCCAGGGAGCTGCGCCATCGGAACTGAGCCAAGACCAGTTAAGACCCTTCTGTGTTGCAGTGACCATGCAGGTGTGGGATCCAGTGAGTCCATTGTTACAGATGTCACCCGCTTCTCTAGGGTTAGACACAAGCTGAGGGAGAAGTTAAGTCCTTGAAGAGAGAGGTTTCTTGGATGTGCTGAATGGAAGGGAAGGGAGGTGCCTCAGAGGAGAGCTTTAGAGGGCCACGTCTCCCTGGTGGCCTTTCTTCCCCATGTCAGGCCTCTGCAGAGCCCTGCCTCTGGGCTGCACCTCTGCAGTTTGCACCCCATGACCTAGAACACCCCAGAACCCACAGGGCAGCTGAAGGAGCATTTCCATCCACAGGAGGTCACTGTCAGGCAGAGGAGGAGGCAGCTTCTAGAACACCCCAGAACCCACGGGGCAGCTGGAGGAGGATTTCCATCCACAGGAGGCCACTGTCAGGCAGAGGAGGAGGCAGCTTCTATGCCCCCGGCTCTCGGTGCTCAGGGCATCGTCTTCTCTTCCCCACCCCTGCCTCCTGCCGCTTTTAAAAGACACAGCACACGAGTTGTGTTAGAAGCTGGCCTAGCGTTCTGTAACGGGTCAGATGAGTGCAGGGCGTCCTCACTTGAGGAGGCTGAGGTGGAAGCAGCCGAGCTCTCACACCGTGTCTTGTTAGTGCTCTGTGTTGATGCCTTTAGATGCCTCCAGCCCAGTCCCTGTTGTGGTGCTGCAAGGCTGGTACGCTCCTCGAAGCACCATGCCATGAGATGGAGGTGCCTAGAAGCAAGAAGAAAGGTACAGTACTGACCGGTTGGCCTTGATTTACTGATGTGTTTTAAACTGTCTGCCATTTATATCTGCACTGTTTGTTTGGAGGAGGGATGGGGAAGGTGGAATTTAATTACAGGCACGTGTATGTAACAGAGACCTGTCCTGTGTGAGCCAGGTCGCCGGTGCTAAGCTGTCCCACCACATTCATGTGTGGCACGAGGTCTGGGGAGGCCCAGGAGAGGTGCCTGGAGTGAGTGAATGCTCGGTGGAGGTCCAGCCTTAGCAGACTTGAGGGGCTGATAACCAGGTGTTTAAATGGTCTCACAGTCACTGCTGAGAGGTGAGGTGGGCAGCACCAACCCTCCCAACGCCATTGTGCTCTCCCCACTCACAGGCCTTCCTTTCTGCTCTATAAGGTGTCAGGTGGACGCAGGGGGCTCCGTAACGTTAGGTAAGGACCTGGGTTTGGGGGACACCATGGCATGAAATCTCTCCTCCCTCTCTCCCTCGCCCGCCTCACAGAGAAGCAGGGCCCTGAGCGGAAGAGGATTAAGAAGGAACCTGTCACCCGGAAGGCCGGGCTGCTGTTTGGCATGGGGCTGTCTGGAATCCGAGCCGGCTACCCTCTCTCCGAGCGCCAGCAGGTGGCCCTTCTCATGCAGATGACAGCCGAGGAGTCTGCCAACAGCCCAGGTGAGCCCAGCCTGTGGGTGGCCCCTGGCGCAGGGAACGGGCTCTGCTTGGTCACAGCCCTGTGTGAAGGACAGGCCCTGTGCAGAGGGACCTCATGATGGTGGCCTGGGCTTTTGAGGATTCTACAGAGCGGGGCACCCACAGTAATGCCCACCTGTCTCCTCCTTGGCCTGCAGTGGACACAACACCAAAGCACCCCTCCCAGTCTACAGTGTGTCAGAAGGGAACGCCCAACTCTGCCTCAAAAACCAAAGACAAAGTGAACAAGAGAAACGAGCGAGGAGAGACCCGCCTGCACCGAGCGGCCATCCGCGGGGATGCCCGGCGCATCAAGGAGCTCATCAGCGAGGGGGCGGACGTCAACGTCAAGGACTTCGCAGGTGGGCGCCCTGTGCCTGGCAGGAGCCCGAGAGCCCTGCTGGAGCCCTGAGCCTCCCATTGGGTCAGAGGGCTGTGCCCTCATGGGGCGCTACAGGGCCTGGGGCTTTCACAGCCACACTCACTCCAGTGGGGTTCGCTGTTGCTGAGGAGAAACCACTGTCTCTTGGAAAGTATTTCGCAGTAAACTTGTTTGCTCTTGGTTTTATTTTTAGACAGGGTCTCTCGCTCTGTCGCCCAGGCTGGAGTACAGTGGTGTGATCACAGCTCGCTGAAGCTTTGAACTCTTGGGCTCAAGTCACGTTCCCACCTCAGCTTTCCAAGTGAATACAGACACACGCCACCGTGCCTGGCTAATTTTTTCATTTTTTGTAGAGATCGGGTCTTGCTATGTTGCCCAGACTGGCTTGAACTCATGGCCTCAAGCCATTCTCACATCTTGGCTTCCCAAAGTGCTGGGATTATAGCTGGGAGCTGCCATGCCTGGCCTATTTTTAAGAGGACTGAAGAATTTTACATTTTAATCTGCTGTGTTTCATAAACCTCACTTCCAGTCCTCTGGAGGGGTCTCTCCCTGGTGTGTCTAGCAAGTGGCTGTGTTTCCCAGCAGAGGGCACCTCTGAGCTGGGAGCCCCAGGCTCAGTCCACACCCTCAACTCCCCTCGCTTCGCAGGGCTGGGTCCTGGGGCTTGCCTGGGCCTGGGACAGAACTGAACGAGCCTCCCCAGACCCAGGGGCTATATATATTTTTTTTAAGCGTCCCAGGATTAGAGTTTAATCTTGTGTTTCTTTATATAAAATACCCACATCAAACCTGGGTGGTCCACATACCCCAGGACTGCCTGTCCACAGTGTAAGGAGAACAGAAGAGCGAGAACAGTCTGTGTAGAATCCTTCTAGAGTTTCCCCACTGCCCTAGTTTAGAGCTGTCTGACCCAAACCTCATTTAGCACCTTTTTTTTTAAACAACAACAAAAAAGGGCATTTTTCTAAAACAAGCTTCTCTGGAGCACTGCCACTTGCTTCCAGGGGGCTGAGCTCTGTTTCCACGATGCATGCAGCCACACCACCCAGTGGTGGGCTCCCAGCTCCCCAGGCAGAAGCTGCCTGCCCAGGTACCTTCAGCGTGTGGCCCGTGCCTGGGTGCCCCTGGTGGAGCTCCTGCTGTAGCAGCTGTTCAGTCTCCATCAGGCGCTCTCAACCTCAGTTTCCCCATTTCTGACACAATGTTTCCCCTCCGTGTTCTGCAAAGGCACCTGTGCTTCCAGATCGGTAGGGATGAGGCTGTTGTTCGCTACACCATGTGTTCACTGACCTCCTGCCCTTTTAGGGTGATTATGCAGATGAGCCCTGCCAGCAGTTAGTGTGTAGGGTTAAGCTACATATGGATTGTGCTCACAAGGGGTGCCACAGAGAATTTCAGGGTTCTCTGGGCTGGCACCTGCTCCCTCAATTGCAGCCCTCAACGGTGCAGCTCCCCAGCTCGCTTGTCCCTTGTCTTTTAGTACATCCTCAGGGCGCTGTCTCCGGAGACGGGAGTGGTGTTCCTGAGGATCACATAACATACGTCCTGAGTGTCTGTTTCCAGGCTGGACGGCGCTGCACGAGGCCTGTAACCGGGGCTACTACGACGTCGCGAAGCAGCTGCTGGCTGCAGGTGCGGAGGTGAACACCAAGGGCCTGGACGACGACACGCCTTTGCACGATGCTGCCAACAACGGACACTACAAGGTTGGCATCTCCCCTGGGCCCTTCACACTGGCCTGTCCTGGCATCTGGGTGGTTCTGAAGCTTTGTCCCCACAGCTAGCCAGTTACCTTGTGTGGGGCACCGGAAAGCAAGTTTTTGCCACCCCTCACCCTGAAGGCCGAGCTGTGCCCTCTGCCTGCCTCCAGCTTTCCCATCCGGGGTCAGCGCCTGGACGGCCTCTCACAGGTTTCGCAGCAAGCGCCATCTATGGAAAGGCTCATATCCACTAGCCGTTTAGGTCTGGTTGGATTTTAGCAGGTGAAGGATTCCACCAAGTGGAAGGAGGCCTGCAGGAGTTGCTGCTGGTCCCCATCACCACTATGGGGCTATTAGACCTGCAAGGCAGACCCACTCTCGTCTGGAATGAGGTAACACCAAGAGGTGTGGCCAGTGCATAGGACATAGGCTCAAGATTTAGAAAGCGGCCATTGTGGCCGGCCCAGGAGCAGTGAGCCTGAGAGGTCTCAGCCTCTGTGGGGGGCGAGAGAGGTCGTGGAGTCCCTGACACCCCCATCCTGCTGGAAAGCAGAGGTGCTGCCTGGAGATGGGGCAGATCTCACTGAAGTCATCAGCAGAGCTTCGTGGAGAGCCCCTGCTTATAGGCAGGACAGCAAGGCCGGGTGCACATTGCCCTCACCCGTCAGGCTCCTCTGCAGCAAGCCCCGCCTGGCCACTGCGGGAGGTCCTGGAGCCCGCAGCACCTTGGCCTTAAGGAGCACACTTGGGACACGGCTCGTTCCTGCAGGGTGGGGGGTGATTGAAGACTCTGAGACAAGCAGGGATCTCAGAACACTGAGTCAGTGTTTGATGTTAAAACGTGACCATTAAACTTATAGGTAAGATGATGAATGGCATTATGGTTTCATTTTGTTTTTTTATGGGCCCTTTCAGAGACATGAACTAGAGAAAGCTCTATAGTGTCTGGGTTCACTTAGCACTGCAGGGAAGGGCAGGCACGAGGGGAATGGTGGTGGTGGGTGAGGGGGCTGGGGCACCCAAAGCATCTTTATACTTTTGTAATTACCGCTTTTAAACTTTTTATTATGAAAAATGTCAAAGACCCTGGAATTACAGCATGGTAGGCAGGATAACGGCCCCCAAGATGCCTGTGTTGTGAACCCCAGACCTTAATAGTGCGTGGCCTCACGTGGGGAAATCGCCCTGGGCAGCCCCATGGGCCCTTAAAGCTTGAGAGCCTTTCCTGCTGAGTCCGAGAGATACCAGGAACAGGAGAGGGTAGAGCCCAAGGAGGGTCGTACCTGCACTGCTGGCCTTAGAGGAGGGGCCGAGGAGTGTGGTGGCCCCTATCAGCTGGGACTGGGGACCTCCAACCCAGCCCTGCAAGAACCTGAATTCTGCCAGCAACCCTCATGATGGAGGAGAGGAAGGACCCAGCCCTGCCAGCACCTTGACCTCTGACCTCCAGAATTGTAAGCCTGAGGTTTTGTTGTAGTTAAAATAGAAAACTCACACACATAAGAACTCTGTGCCGATTAAAACAGTATGACATGTCCTATACGAACTGGGAATGGATTCTGTGAGCGACGAGAGTCTGTATTAAACTTTATTACAGATTCTTTGAATGCTCTAGTCTCAGACTGGACTGAAGTTGGGTTTAAATTTAATATTTGTACTTGAGTTCAGTGTATTGCTGCTCTGGGCATAGGAAATGCAGGTTGCTGGTGATAAGCAGCTGGACAGGGCTGTGGAAACATCACCGTGGCTGTTCCTGTCATTCGTGTGACCACCCTTACTCTTGTAAAATCAAGCAAGGGAGAGATTATTTTCTAATGTAAATGAAAATAAAAAATAAAACAGCTTGCAGAAACTTGGTCTTTGTTTCCTCTATTCTGTCCCCCACCCCCCATAACACGCTTCTCCCTAACCTCTTGCCTGTGCCCTCCACGACCACTCCGGCACCACTCTGCTGAGGAGCTCACTGTTGGCGGGAGGGGAGAGCCTTCATGAGAAGATTCCTGGGAAGTCATCTACTCGCAGCAAAGGAGAATCGGTGGAAAAAATGCAAAGAAGGCAGAGCCTTTCCGAAGGAGAGTACAGGAGGGGTGCGGGAGCCCTGGCGGCCACAGCCCTCCCCACAGAGGAGCCACAGCCTCACCCGCTGCACCCGGAGCCTCGCCAGGCAATCCCTGTGCACTCGGCTCCCACAGCCTTGGACCGTGAGGGGCTGCTCTCGGGTCGGACCCTGGGGCTCTTGGAAGGGGCTGCAGTGTTGTACAGAGCGGTAGAGGAGCTGTGCGTCTCCAGCAGGCCCTGATGCAGGTGTTACTGTCTTGTAGGTGGTGAAGCTGCTCCTGCGGTACGGAGGGAACCCGCAGCAGAGCAACAGGAAAGGCGAGACGCCGCTGAAAGTGGCCAGCTCCCCCACGATGGTGAACCTCCTGTTAGGCAAAGGCACTTACACTTCCAGCGAGGAGAGCTCGACGGGTAAGTCACGGCCACCTGAGCTGCCTGTTCTTTTATGCAGGGAAGTACGTAGGAGCTGCCCTGTGGTGTGTGTGCAGTGCTGCCCCTCACATCAGCTCCTCCTTGGATGCTGGGGGTTTACAGGAGCTTCTGGACTGCGGGAGACCCCGCGTAGGCGTGTCACTGCCGAGAAGCCTGCAGTCTTGCTTCTAAGATGCCAGCCCTGTCTGTGAGCCGAGCTGTGTCTGGTTTCCTGCTGCCCGTGGCTGGTTCCCATGAGTCAAGCAAAGTGCCTCTGCAGAGGCTGGGTGGGCACCTTACCCCAGGGCACATCTGCAGAGCCCCTCTCCTCTGCCGTTCCGGGGAGAGCTCTTTTGAGCCTGCCTGTGACCTCTCCCTTACTGCCTCCAACAGAGAGCTCAGAAGAGGAAGACGCCCCCTCCTTCGCACCTTCCAGTTCAGTCGACGGCAACAACACAGACTCTGAGTTCGAAAAAGGCCTCAAGCACAAGGCCAAGAACCCAGAGCCACAGAAGGCCGCGGCCCCCGTCAAGGACGAGTATGAGTTTGACGAGGACGATGAGCAGGACAGGGTTCCTCCAGTGGACGACAAGCACCTGTTGAAAAAGGACTACAGAAGAGAAGTGAAGCCCAGGAGCTTCATCTCTATACCCAAAATGGAGGCTAAAAGTTACACTAAAAACAACACGATTGCACCAAAGAAAGCGCCCCATCGCATCCTGTCCGACACGTCGGACGAGGAGGACACCAGTGTCGGCGCAGGCACAGCAGAGAAGCTGAGACTCTCGGCACATACGCTCTTGCCTGGCAGTAAGACACGAGAGCCTTCTAATGCCAAGCAGCAGAAGGAGAAAAACAAAGTGAAAAAGAAGCGAAAGAAAGAAACAAAAGGCAGAGAGGTTCGCTTTGGAAAAAGGAGCGACAAGTTCTGTTCCTCAGAGTCCGAGAGCGAGTCCTCCGAGAGTGGGGAGGACGACAGGGACTCCGTGGGGAGCTCCAGCTGCCTCAAGGGGTCCCCGCTGGTGCTGAAGGACCCCTCCCTGTTCAGCTCCCTCTCCGCCTCCTCCACCTCGTCTCACGGGAGCTCTGCCGCCCAGAAGCAGAACCCCAACCACACAGACCAGCACACCAAGCACTGGCGGACAGACAATTGGAAAACCATTTCCTCCCCAGCTTGGTCAGAGGTCAGTTCTTTATCAGACTCCACAAGGACGAGACTGACAAGCGAGTCTGATTACTCCTCTGAGGGCTCCAGCGTGGAGTCGCTGAAGCCAGTGAGGAAGAAGCAGGAGCACAGGAAGCGGGGCGGGCTGCAGGGCTGCCCATCGGAGAAAAAAAGCCCCTTCCTCTCCAGCGCGGAGGGTGCGGTCCCCAAGCTGGACAAGGAGGGAAAAGTTGTCAAAAAACATAAAACCAAACACAAACACAAAAACAAGGAGAAGGGACAGTGTTCCATCAGCCAAGAGCTGAAACTGAAAAGTTTTACTTACGAGTATGAGGACTCCAAGCAGAAGTCAGATAAGGCTCTACTCTTAGAGAATGATATTTCCACCGAAAATAAGTTAAAAGTGGTAAAGCATGATCGAGACCACTTTAGAAAAGAAGAGAAACTTAGCAAAATGAAATCGGAAGAAAAAGAGTGGCTCTTTAAAGATGAGATCATGAAGGCCTCCAAAGATGAAAAATCCTTGAAGAGAATCAAAGACGTGAACAAGGACGTCGGCAGGTCTTTCCGAGAGGATAAGGACCGTTCGAATAAAGCAGAAAAGGAGAAATCTCTGAAGGAAAAGTCTCCAAAAGAAGAAAAACTGAGACTATACAAAGACGAGAGAAAGAAGAAGTCAAAAGACCGGCCCTCAAAATTAGAGAGAAAGAATGATTTAAAAGAGGACAAAATGTCAAAAGAGAAGGAGAAGGCTTTTAAAGAAGATAAAGAAAAACTCAAGAAAGAAAAGGTTTATCGGGAAGATTCTGCTTTTGACGAATATTGTAACAAAAATCAGTTTCTGGATAATGAAGACACCAAATTTAGCCTATCTGATGATCAGCGAGATCGGTGGTTTTCTGACTTGTCCGACTCATCCTTTGATTTCAAAGGGGAGGACAGCTGGGACTCACCAGTGACAGACTACAGGGACATGAAGAGCGACTCTGTGGCCAAGCTGATCCTGGAAACTGTGAAGGAGGACAGCAAGGAGAGGAAGCGAGACAGCAGGGCCCGGGAGAAGCGAGACTGCAGAGAGCCCTTCTTCCGAAAGAAGGACAGGGACTACTTGGATAAAAACTCTGAGAAGAGGAAAGAGCAGATGGAAAAGCATAAAAATGTCCCCGGCTACCTTTCGGAAAAGGACAAGAAGAGGAGAGAGTCCGCAGACGCCGGGCGGGATAGGAAGGACGCCCTCGACAGCGGCAAGGAGCGCAGGGACGGCAGGGCCAGGCCTGAGGAGGCGCATCGGGAGGAGCCAAAGGAGTGCAGCTGTGAGGGCAGCTTCAAGGACAAGGCCGACTGTGACTTTGGGAAGGGCCTGGAGCCGTGGGAACGGCACCACGCGGCGCGAGAGAAGGAGAGGAAGGACAGCCTTGATAAGGAGAGGAAGGAGAAAACCAAACCAGAAAAATACAAAGAGAAGTCCAGTGACAAGGACAAAGGTGAGAAGTCGATGCTCGAAAAATGTCAGAAGGACAAAGAATTCGATAAATGTTTTAAAGAGAAAAAAGATACCAAGGAAAAACATAAAGACACACATGGCAAAGACAAAGAAAGGAAAGCATCTCTGGACCAAGGGAAAGAGAAGAAAGAGAAGGCTTTCCCTGGGATTCTGTCAGAAGACTTCTCTGAAAAAAAAGACGACAAGAAAGGCAAGGAGAAGAGCTGGTACATCGCAGACATATTCACAGACGAGAGTGAGGACGACAGAGAGGACTGCATGGGGAGCGGGTTCAAGATGGGAGAGGCCAGCGACCTGCAGAGGGTGGACAGCCTCCAGGAGAAGGAGGAAGGGCGGGAGGCCTACGCCTCCGACAGACACAGGAAGTCCTCCTCTGACAAGCAGCACCCCGAGAGGCAGAAGGACAAGGAGCCCAAAGACAAGAGAAAGGACAGGGGGGCTGCCGACGGAGGGAGGGACAAAAAAGAGAAAGTCTTTGAAAAGCACAAGGAGAAGAAGGATAAAGAGTCCACAGAAAAGTATAAGGACAGGAAGGACAGAGCTTCAGTGGACTCCATGCAAGACAAGAAAAATAAACAGAAGCTCCCAGAGAAGGCCGAAAAGAAACACTCTGCTGAAGACAAGGCTAAAAGCAAACACAAAGAGAAGTCGGATAAGGAACATTCCAAGGAGAGGAAGTCCTCGAGAAGCACCGACATGGAGAAAAGCCTGCTTGAAAAGCTGGAAGAAGAAGCTCTCCATGAGTACAGAGAAGACTCCAATGACAAAATCAGTGAGGTCTCGTCTGACAGCTTCACGGACCGAGGGCAGGAACCGGGGCTGACTGCCTTTCTGGAGGTCTCTTTCACGGAGCCACCCATGGAGGACAAGGCCAGGGAGAGCACCTGCCTCCCGGAGAAGCTGAAAGAGAAGGAGAGGCACAGACACTCCTCATCCTCATCCAAGAAGAGCCACGACCGAGAGAGGGCCAAGAAAGAAAAGGCCGAGAAGAAGGAGGAGGGCAGCAGCAGGAAGGACTCTGGCCAGTATGAAAAGGACTTCCTGGAGGCGGACGCCTACGGGGTTTGTTACAGCATGAAAGCCGACATCGAAGATGAGCTAGATAAAACCATTGAATTGTTTTCTACCGAAAAGAAAGATAAAAATGAATCCGAGAGAGAAACTTCCAAGAAAATAGAAAAGGAACTAAAGCCTTACGGCTCTAGCACCATCAGCATCCTAAAAGAGAAGAAGAGGAGGGAGAAACACAGGGAGAAATGGAGAGAGGAGAAGGAGAGGCACCGGGACAGGCATGCAGATGGGCTCCTGCGCCATCACAGGGACGAGCTGCTGCGCCATCACAGGGACGAACAGAAGCCCGCCACCAGGGACAAGGACAGCCCTCCCCGCGCGCTGAAAGACAAGTCTAGGGACGAGGGCCTGAGGCTCAGCGACGCCAAACTGAAGGAGAAATTCAAGGACAGTGCAGAGAAAGAAAAGGGCGACTCCGTGAAAATGAGCAATGGGAATGATAAGGTAGCGCCGGCCAAAGACCCAGGCAAGAAAGAAGCCAGGCCCAGGGAGAAGCTCCTGGGGGACGGCGACCTGATGATGACTAGCTTCGAGAGGATGCTCTCCCAGAAGGACCTGGAGATCGAGGAGCGCCACAAGCGGCACAAGGAGAGGATGAAGCAGATGGAGAAGCTGAGGCACCGGTCCGGAGACCCCAAGCTCAAGGAGAAGGCGAAGCCGGTGGACGATGGGCGGAAGAAGGGTCTGGACGTTCCCGCCAAGAAACCACCAGGGCCGGACCCTCCGTTTAAGGACAAAAAGCTCAAGGAGTCGACTGTTCTTCCACCTGCCACCGAAAATAAGCTACACCTGGGATCAGGGGCAGACTCCAAAGACTGGCTCGCAGGGCCACACATGAAGGAGGCCCTGCCCGCGTCCCCCAGGCCTGACCAGAGCCGGCCCACTGGCGTGCCCACCCCTACATCGGTGCTGTCCTGCCCCAGCTACGAGGAGGTGATGCACACGCCCAGGACCCCGTCGTGCAGTGCCGATGACTACGCAGACCTCGTGCTGGACTGCGCCGACTCCCAGCACTCCACGCCTGTGCCCACCGCTCCCGCCAGCGCCTGCTCCCCCTCCTTTTTCGACAGGTTCTCTGTGGCATCAAGTGGGCTTTCAGAAAACGCCAGTCAGGCCCCAGCCCGGCCTCTCTCCACAAACCTGTACCGCTCGGTCTCTGTCGATATTAGGAGGACCCCAGAGGAGGAATTCAGTGTTGGCGACAAACTCTTCAGGCAGCAGAGCGTTCCTGCCGCCTCCAGCTATGACTCTCCTGTGCCGCACTCGATGGAAGACAGGGTGCCCCTGCCCCCGGTTCCCCCAGAGAAGTTTGCCTGCTTGTCCCCAGGGTACTACTCCCCAGACTATGGCCTCCCCTCGCCCAAAGTCGATGCTCTGCACTGCCCACCGGCTGCCATTGTCACTGTTACCCCGTCTCCAGAGGGCGTCTTCTCAAGTTTACAAGCAAAACCTGCCCCTTCCCCCAGGGGGGAACTGCTGGTTCCTTCTCTTGAAGGGGCCCTTCCCCCGGACCTGGACGCCACCGAGGACCAGCAGGCTACGGCCGCCATCATCCCCCCGGAGCCCAGCTACCTGGAGCCGCTGGACGAGGGTCCATTCAGTGCTGTCATCACCGAGGAGCCTGTGGAGTGGGCCCATCCTGCTGAGCAGGCCCTTGCTTCCAGCCTGATTGGGAGCGCCTCTGAAAACCCTGTCAGCTGGCCCGTGGGCTCGGACCTCCTGCTCAAGTCTCCGCAGAGATTCCCCGAGTCCCCTAAACATTTCTGCCCTGCAGACTCCCTCCATTCTGTCGCCCCAGGGCCCTTCAGCGCCTCCGAGGCACCATACCCTGCCCCTTCCACCTCCCCTGCCCCGTATACTCTGCCTGTCACCGACCCAGGACTGGAGGATGTCAAAGACGGGGCGGAAGCCATCCCGGCCGCCATCTCCACCTCAGAGGCGGCTCCTTATGTCTCTCCCTCCGGGCTAGAGTCCTTCTTCAGCAACTGCAAGTCACTTCCGGAAGCTCCACTGGACATGGCCCCTGAGCCTGCATGTGTCACTACTGTGGCTCAGGTCGAGGCTCTGGGGCCCCTGGAAAATAGTTTCCTGGACAACAGTCACAGCCTGTCTGCCCTTGGCCAGGTGGAGCCAGTGCCCTGGGCAGATGCCTTTGCCGGCCCTGAGGACGACCTGGACCTGGGGCCCTTCTCACTGCCAGAGCTTCCCTTGCAGACGAAAGACGTCACAGATGTTGAAACAGAACCCATAGAAGAAAGTCTTGCTCCTTCAGAAAAGATCCCTCCAGGGGCCCCTGTGGTTGTAAACGGTGGGGACGTTTCCACCTTGGTGGCTGAGGAACCACCAACGCTGCCTCCAGACCAGGCCTCCACCCGGCTCCCCACAGAGCAGGAGCCTGAACCCTCAGAGGAGCCAAAGCTGGACGTGGTTCTCGAAGCTACGGTGGAGGCAGAGACGGTGCCCGAAGAGAGGGCCCCTGGGGATCTGGACTCCAGCACGGAGCCCCCACCCATTCCCCCTGAACAGCACCCGCTGGGGAGTGGAGACCAGGGGGCTGAGACCGAAGGCCCCCCTGCTGCATCCCTCTGTGCCCCTGATGGCCCCCCCACGGACGCTGTGGCACAAGCCCAGGCTGCAGACAGTGCCAGTCCCCAGGACAACACTGAGGCCTCCCGTGCTGCTGCCCCAGCCGAAGGCCCTCCTGGTAGCATCCAGCCAGAAGCCACAGAACCAGAACCAAAACCCACGGCCGAAGCCCCTAAGGCCCCCAGAGTAGAGGAGATCCCTCAGCGCATGACCAGGAACCGGGCGCAGATGCTCGCAAACCAGAGTAAGCAGGGCACACCCCCCTCTGAGAAGGACTGTGCCCCCGCCCCCGCCCCAGCCACCAGGGCCAAGGCCCGCAGCTCCGAGGAGGATGATGCTCAGGCCCAGCATCCGCGCAAACGCCGCTTCCAGCGCTCCACCCAGCAGTTGCAGCAGCAGCTGAACACGTCCACACAGCAGACGCGGGAGGTGATCCAACAGACGCTGGCCGCCATCGTGGACGCCATCAAGCTGGACGCCATTGAGCCCTACCACAGCGACAGGGCCAACCCCTACTTCGAATACCTGCAGATCAGGAAGAAGATCGAGGAGAAGCGCAAGATCCTGTGCTGCATTACGCCACAGGCGCCCCAGTGCTACGCCGAGTACGTCACCTACACGGGCTCCTACCTCCTGGACGGCAAGCCGCTCAGCAAGCTCCACATCCCCGTGGTGAGTGCAGGGCCTGGGGAGCCACTGCCTTTTCTCTCTGGGATGCGTCCGGGGCCCCCCCCGTCATGAGTTCCTCAAGTCCTTTATGTCCTTCTCCCGGCCCTTGATCTCTCTTGACCTTTTCCCACCTGAGTAGAAGGCAAAGGCCAGAAGCTACACAGCTGTTTTGCAGACCTGAGGCCCTTCCTCCAGCAGGCTCTATGCCAGGCCTTGGTCTCCTGATGTCTCCTCACCCTGGGTGCACCCAGGACCACTCATGTCGGGCCGCCCCTTCACGCTGCTCACTGTCCCCTCTCCACTCCCCCTCCACCAGGACGGCCTCAGCAGAGCCACAGCCTTTGTCTTCAGTCCTGCCCCCTTCTCCCTTGGACCCCTGTGGGTTCCCTTAACCCCCCCACCTCCCTGGGCCTCTAGGACAGCAGACGCTGCAGGATTCTCTGGGCAGGGTGGTCCTACCTCTGTATTCTCAGGCGAAAGGTTTCAGAACCACACACCCCCCCCAGCCCCTTGTGTTCCATCTGGACCCAAAACAAATCCCTCTGAGCACATTCCTGCATTAGGCAGCCTCCCATGTGCAACCTCTGCCCTGGGCTGCAGGGCCTGGCTGGGGTCTAACCTCCTAACCCACCAGGGTCTTTCCCAGCAGGCACAGGGATTCCTCACGGTGGAGCCAGAGCTTACCCATCTATGCTTGGTGACGGCCTGAGTTGTGCAAAGCCTCCCCTGCCCTCCTGTTCTCAGGTCCCCGGGGTCCATCCGGTCTTAGCATGTGACGTTCTCCTGGCCCTTTCTTCAAGTCCCCTCCCAGACCACGCGACTCCGTTCACACTGTGCCTGGTAGATTGTGTAGTTGATGGAGTCGTCTCCCTGGAGTTTGTTGTGTTATGCCCAGAACGGGCTCTTGGTCACCAACAGCCATTTCCTTCTGGGGATTCCTGGCCACTGAAACCTGCAGGTGGTGCGAGGCACACTTGGGCCTGCCACACGCGTTGGCTCTGTGGGCCTGGGCCTTCTGAGAGCCCTCCCCATGCTGGCCCCGACTCGGCTCAGGTACCCAGCATCCCTCGGAAGAGCATCACGGGGTCTGCTGAGCTTGCCCTGAGGGTGAGGCTGGGGTGGGGCTGCTGCCCGCCAGGGAGGCTGTGCCAGGACCCCAGGAACGGGGGCCCGTGGGCCACACCCTGCCGAGCTCTGTTCTCTGGGAGCATGACGGGCTCTGCACCCAGGGCAACCCTTCTCCTGGAGCCCTGACCCTAGCCATCCCCAGGGAGGCTCATCCACAGGAGACGGAGACTGCAGTTGGGTCGAGACATTCAGAAAAACCTGTCCTAGGATCTGTCCTCACCAAGACCTTTTGTACTTTGTGTTTGCTGCTGGTTTTTGTTTTAATGTATCAAAACAGTAGTCTGACTGCCGTAGAAAATTTGGAAAATACAGGGGGGAAATTCGCCACCAGAATCCTGCTAATCAGAGTAATCCTGGGAATGTTCTATGCATCTCCTGCCTGGTCCTTTGAGTGAGTTCCCCCCAGACTTAGACCAAGGCAGGCAGAGGCGCCAGGTGCTCCAGGAGCGGCCCGAGGCCCACCGCACAGCTCCTGCTGCAGGTGGCGGCCCTGGGGCTGAGCCAGAGGAAGGGGTGGGGCCGTTCCCACTGCAGGCTGTGAGTTGAGTGCTCATCGGTCCCCCCTTGGAGGTGGCCCGCAGAATCTCTGCCACAGACGGGCAGGTTGCATCTCAGCTGAAAACCTATACCCAGAAGCCCCACTGGGGGTTGGGATTGTCAAGTTGGGGTAGATACCATGGCGAACAGTGAGGCCTGTGCACTAGAGAGACTCAGCTACATTTTTTAATCATTAATTTTGAACTGATTTTATTTGGGCAGAAAAGTTCAAAGGCAGCAGAGATAGGTTTCGCGCCTGGAACACGCCCATCCTCCCCTGAATGTGCCTGGGGAGCCCTGCAGGTGACAAGGGCCTCCCCCGTCCCATCTCCTGGTAGGCCCTTCTGGGAGTGGTGGGCAGCGGTGTGGTCAGAGGCCCCATGCCTGGCCTGCGATGACGGCTGTTAGGCAGGAGCCCGCTGGCGTGAGGTGGGGCCTCCTGCTCCTGGTGTCCTGGGTGGTGTGACCTGGAGACCTGGTCAGGCCCGTCCGCTGTGAGCTGAGGGCTCTCCCTCCGCGGTGGGTGTGTGTCTTGGGGAAGAGACGTGGAGACGGTGGAAGTCTGTTTCTCTGAGACCACTGCCCCTACACATGGCAGTCACTACTGGGCCCTGGGCCTCTGTGTCCCTCTCCTGCATTTGCTCACTGGAGCTCTGCTGGCAGGAGCCACCACCCCTTCTGCCTGCAGGTCCCCAGCATCACCATTGTTTGGTCTCCTGCTGCGAGTCGTCCAGCCTTGGCTGTCAGGAGCTCCTCCTGTGTGCCCTCTTCTGCGTCCACGTACCCATCTGCCCCCAGCACTCCCATTTCTGGCTGGCCACTCCATGTTCCAGGTGGTCTTGGCCACCCCTCTCCCACTCTGCCATCACCACGTGGCCCCACCTGTACAGAACAGTGGGTCCCAGCGGGACTGCTGCAGGCCCCCTGAACACATGGCCATGCTTTGTGTGTCTGCTTTGGAAACCTCACTCCCTGTGGGCCTGAGGTCTGCCCTGCACCACGGGCCTCAACCTGGCCCCACGCTCCCGTGTGTCCCTTTTTCCTGCAAGAGTGCAAGGCTTCATCGGCCGGGCGTGGTGGCTCATGCCTGTAATTCCAGCACTTTGGGAGGCCAAGGCAGGCAGATCACGAGGTCAAGAGACTGAGACCATCTTGGCCAACATCATGAAACCCCTTCTCTACTAAAACACAAAAAATTAGCCAGGCAGTGGTGCACGCATATAATCCCAGCTGCTCGGGAGGCTGAGGCAGGGGAATCGCTTGAACCTGGGAGGCGGAGGTTGCAGTGAGCCTGAGATCGCACCACTGCACTCCAGCCTGGATAACAGAGCAACACTCCGTCTCCCAAAAAAAAAAAAAAGTGGGAGGCCTCGTCCTGATGGTCTCTGCTGTCTTTACTTCCTCCTTCATTTCCGAGCGTGCCTGTAGTTTCAGAATCGCTGACCCACCTTGTGAGGACCCTTCTGCTTGTGGGAGTGCAGTGCCTACTCACCACGCCTCCAGCTGCAGCCCCACTGCCCTCCATGGGGACCTGGGCCAGTGTGCTCTTCTCTCTCCCGAGCCATCCCAAGACCAGAGGGTTGGTTGTCAGCCTTCATATTCCACTGTGGGCATTACGGCCTGGTTGAAGCTGATTTGGGGTGTGTGGACCCTCTCTGTGAACCCAGGAAGCTCAGCCTACCCCAGCCCGCTCTTGCTGTATTTCTTCTGCATTCATGCCCTCCTTGGCACACCACAGGTATTGTCCTGTGCCTCTCCCACATTCCATCCCCTCCCCACATGGTGTCGTATGGGGCGCCGTGCAGGTGCCTGCTCTCCCGTGTCCTGCGCTTCATGGTGTGTCTGTTGCTGGGACTGGAGGGGTCTCCAGGGCAGGCTTCTAGGAGTGGGGAGGCTGAGTAGGGACCTCTCTGAACTCCTGTCTGCTGTTAGTGCAGTGCCCCAGCCAACCCCCCACTCACCTTTTACCTGCAGATCGCACCCCCTCCCTCCCTGGCGGAGCCCCTGAAGGAGCTGTTCAAGCAGCAGGAGGCAGTCCGGGGAAAGCTGCGTCTGCAGCACAGCATCGAGCGGGTAAGTGCGCCAGCATGGGCAGGGGCGGCCATGGCTGGGGCGTCCACGGTGCAGGCTCCCGGGGCTGTCTTGTCAGGACAGTGGGGCCTGGGGCGTGGTTGTGTCCCAGCTCACCTGGCTCCTCTCCTACAGGAGAAGCTGATCGTGTCCTGTGAGCAGGAGATTCTGCGAGTTCACTGCCGGGCGGCCAGGACCATCGCCAACCAGGCAGTGCCATTCAGCGCCTGCACGATGCTGCTGGACTCTGAGGTCTACAACATGCCCCTGGAGAGCCAGGTAGGGCCGTCTGCAGGTCACACTCACGAGTCTAAGCACCCGAACCCCCCCCCCCAGCCACTCCTCCCCTTTACAGATTCTGTACTTTGACCACGAGCTTCCCAAGTGCCCCTGTGCCCGGTGCCTTGCTGCAGAGTTCTTTGCGTACCTCTAGCCTTGGGCGAGCCTCAGAAAGGAGCCAAGAAGGCTGGAGCCGAGAGTGGACAGCTCTCCTCACGGGCAAGGCCCTGGGCCTCTGGGCTGGGCCTCAGCAGCTCAGTCCCTCCGTGCTCCTTAGACCTCTGAAACACTTGTCCCTGCAGTTGGAGCAGCTGCCCCTACCTCTTGCAGGTTTCAGGGCTGGCCTCATTTTCCGTTTAAACTGCTGGGCTCCACCTGCAGCTCTCAGGCATCCCAGGGGCTGTCCTGCGGGGACACCCAACCTAGATGCGCAGCTCTTCTTGGCCAGGATGGACCCGACCCAGGGTCCCAGAACCACAGTCACTGCCCTGCCTATCTGCCGTGGGGCTCCACCCACTCCTTCCCCTCCCCTTCCCCTCCCCTGCCTTTGACCTAGTCCATCCACTGGGACATAGGATGTGGGTGGCCAGGGCCCTGTGCTCTCCCCTGGGGAGCTCTTCCTGTGTGCCTGCAAGTGACCCATGTGCCGGGGCCTCCTGCCTTAGAAATCGTTCTCCAGCCACCACTGATCTGTCCATGTCGGCCCCATGGACCCCTGGCTGCCCCATCGCCTGCCCTGCATCAGCCCCTCCCACCTCTTTGGAGGCCCTGCACTTAGGTCATGGGCTCCCAGCGCCCTAGGCCCCACATCCTACATAGGGGATGCACCTGGAACACATCCCGCCTTGATGTCCAGACCCCTCTCCCACTCTTGCACCAAGACTCATACCTTGTGCTTTTCCCATGACGCCACCTAGCCCTGGGCACTCCGAGCAGCACCAGGCTTTGGTGTGTGGTGACAGGCAGGCTGTCCGTGACGTTCAGTTGAAAATATTTTAGTGCATTAAAGATCTTCCTTTCTTTGGGGATGTATTTTATCAACGTCCCTTGTTTAAACATTCTACACAGTGACAGATTTTCTTTAAGGAAAACATGAGTTGGACCAAACGATGCTTTGGGGGCTGGATGCTGAAAAGTGTGGGTTCTCTTCCCCCCCTGAAGGCTCTGATGGACCGGCAGTCAGGACAGCACTGTGCAGGCTGAGCTCTGTGGAGAGCAGAAACGAGCAGAACCAGCTCAGGCCTCTCACACAGACCTTCCAAGGAAGCACGCTTCCCTTCACTTCTCATGGGGAATGGGGTGTCCATCCCCTCAAGCATTTATCGTTTGAGTTAAGCAATCCAGTTAAAATAGGCAATTCAGTTGCTGCTGCTACAGTCATCCTGGTGTGCCGTCCAACAGGTTTTACTCATTCTTCCTTGTAGTACCCATTAACCATTTCTTCCTCCCTGCCCAGCCCTCAGTCCCCTTCCCCTACTCCCTATGTCCATGACTTCACTTGTCAAGTGAGAGCATGTGATGTTTGTCTTTCTATGGTTGGCTTATTTTACTTAACATGATAACCTCCAGTTCCATCCGTGTTTTTGAAAATGACAGTCTCCTTTTTTGTGGCCGAATAGTACTCCGTTGTGTATGTGTCACATTTTCTTTATCCATTCATCTGTTGATGGGCCCTCAAATTGCTTCCATGTCTTGGCTACTGTAAACGGAGTTGCATCAAACATGGGAGTGCAGATGACGCCTAGATACACTGAGTAATGCTTGCTCTGTCACCGAAGCCGAGTGCAGTGGCGCAGTCTCAGCTCACTGCTGCTTCTGAGTCTATCCCCAGCAGTGGGATTGCTGGATGCTATGGTAGCCCAATTTCTAGTATTTTGAGGAACCACCAAACAGTTCTCCATAGTGGCCGTCTTAATTTACATTCCCACCAGCCGGGTACGAGGCTTCCTTTTATCCATGTCGTCGCCAGCATTTGTGATTGCCTTTCTTTTGGATAAAGGCCATTTTAGCTGGGTAGGATGAAAGCTCATTGTAGTTTTCATTTGCATTTTCTCCGATGAGCAGTGTTGCTGAGCTTCTTTTCAGATGCCTGTTTGCCATTTGTGTGTCTTCTTTGAGAAATGTCGATTCAGATCTTTTGTCCATTTTTTGATCAGATGAGTAGATTTTTTCGTATAGAGTGGATTACATGCCTTACAGGTTCCGGTTATGAATCCTTTGTCAGATGAGTGGTTTGCAAAGTTTCGCCTCATTCTGTGGATTCTCTCTGTCACTGTGTTGACTGCGTCCTTTGTTGTGCACAGGCTTTTCAACATGGTGTGATCCCAGTTGTCCGTGTTTGCTGTGGTTGCCTGTGCTTGTGGGGTATTGCTCGAGAACTTTTTGACCAGACCAGTGTCAGAGATTTTCCCCAATGTTTTCTTGTAGTAGTTTTCATGGTTTGAGGTCTTAGATTCAAGACTTTAATCCATTTTGGTTTTATGTTTGTTATATGGTGAGAGATGGGGTCTAGTTTCACTCTTCTCTCTGTGGATGTCCATTGCCTCCAGCACCGTTTATGGAAGAGACTGTCCTTTCCCTGTGATTGTTACTCTGTCCTTGGCCTCTTTGTGGAAAGTGAGTTCCCTGCAGTTGTGTGGGTTTGTTTCTGGGTGTGTTTACATCGGTGCTCTACATGTTCTGAGAAGCAGATGGTGTCGTCAGATTCACCATGAACCCTCTGCTGTGTTACTGAGCCCACTGAAAAAGGGGAGGGAGCCCAGACATTTTATCTGTGTCTGTCCCTCACCAGGACACAGGGACGGTGACATACCTAGAAAGTCTCACCCAGGAGACTTTGTTAATGTGTTGAATATACATTGAATGATTGGATGATTGATTAGATTTTTTCGTATAGAGTGGATTACATGCGGGCTGAGCCCTGCCTGTCCCATGGGGCAGGGCTGGGGACCAGCTCAGAGGCGGGGCCTGCAGCCTCCCGGTGCTCAGGAGACAAAGGCCCAACCGACTTCACATGCATTTTAGGGAAGCTGTTTGGGGAGACAAGGCAGGGTCATGCTTTCCATACTTTGAAGGTAATTGAGGTTGCCCCTTTGGTTTTTCCCTTGAGAAAGGTCACTGTAGCATGGCCCAGGCTGGTGCAGCCTCCTGTAGTGGTCTCCGGGTCTTCCGATGAAACTCCTGTGTTTGGTTTCCACAGGGCGATGAGAACAAGTCAGTGCGTGACCGTTTCAACGCCCGCCAGTTCATCTCCTGGCTCCAGGACGTGGATGACAAGTACGACCGCATGAAGGTCGGTGCTGCGCTTCCCCCACAGCTTGGCCTGGCACTCCAGGTGCCCCTGGGGACAAGGGAGGCCGCTGCCCAGTGACAATATCAGATTCTCTTAACCTGGCCCATGCTTGCAGGGAGGCGAGGTCCTGCCCCTGTACGTGGCCTCCTCCAAGTCTTCCCTTCTGTCCAGGTGTGCAGGAAGCGGCTCCTGTCACCAGCTCAGCAGGGGCCTAGGCTTGATGGTCAGACCTCCTGGGACTGCCCTGTCAGCCCTCTAAAGTCTCAGCATTCGCCCTCCACTGCTCTGGAAGCGCGGGCCAGGGCAGCGGGCAGAGGCGGGGTAGGTACTGGGAAGGGCAGCACACCCTCGGTCCCAGTCGCTAGGGCTGCCCACCCGGACACCCAGAGGATCCACTAAGAAGCAGTGGAAAGTGGCAACTTGCCAAGTTACAGAACTATAAAGTGAGTGTCACGCTGCACAGTCGCCCACCAGGCCTGGGAATAGGCGGCCCCGGCTACCTGCAGTATCAGGCTCAGCACCTCTCAGGTTCCTGAACCAAGCACCCGTGTCATGCTGCAGCTCTCAGAAGGTGCTGGTGTGGGCACAGATGAGAACCAGCAGCCCTACCTGGTGGAAGCCACAAGTACTTGGGGGTGTGGCCCTTGGGGGCTTGTGCTGAGGCAGGGGCTTAGGTCTGAGCTTTAACCAGCCCTAGGGTGACGGCGTGTGAAGTCACTCCATCACCCCACACCCTCCCTAGGCCCTTTCTAACTGAAGCTGTGAGAAAAACTGACTGAAAGCTCCAAAAACACACAGGGAAGATAAATCAATGTTTGACTACATTAAACTGGGACTTTGGGCTGGGCACAGTGGCTCCTGCCTGTAATCTCAGCACTGGGAGGCCAAGGAGGACGGATCACCTGAGGTCAGGAGTTTGAGACCACCCTGGCCAACATGGTGAAACCCAGTCTCTACTAAAAATACAAAATTAGCTGGGCATGGTGGCATATGTCTGTAATCCCGGGTACTTGGGAGGCTGAGGCAAGAGAATTGCTTGAACCCAGGAGGCAGGGATTGCAGTGAGTTGAGATCATGCCATTGCACTCCAGCCTGGGCAACAAGCGTGAAAGTCTGTACAATACTTTAAATACATTAACGAATTAAATACAGTTTAAATTATATACATTCAATACATTAACAGTGCCACGTAGGTTTAGTAGCATCAGTGTAAAAAGAACGCTTAGAAACTAGTGAGAAAAATGGTGCACAGAAAAATAATTTATATAGAGGCATTCCACAAAGGAGACGAAATGACCAAACCTTAATGAAAAGATCTTCACTGTCATCATCAATGTCAGAACCATAAATTAAGCAAGATCTCGTGTATTGGTAATATGTGGGGTTGGGGGGCAGTATCACTGCAGTACTAGGAGAAGTTTCAATTAGATTTTTATCAGTAAACTGACAGTATCAAATTTTAAAATGCTGTTATCACCTCACCTAGCTGTTTCACTTTAGTCATTTAAAACCGAGGGCTGTGGCCGGGTGCCATGACTCATACCTGTAATCCCAACACTTTGGGAGGCCCAGGCACGCAGATCACCTGAGGTCAGGAGTTCGAGACCAGCCTGGCCAACATGGTGAAGCCTCGTCTCTACTAGAAATAGAAGTTAGCCAGGTGTGGTGGTGGGTGCCTGTAATTCTAGGAGACTGATGCATGAGAATCACTTCAACCAGGGAGACGGAGGTTGCAGTTAACCGATATATATATGTTGAGAAAAACGTAGACAGGTATGTACCACACTGTAAAACCCTGTCTATATACAAATTAACTGGGCATGGTAGCACCCGTGATCCCAACTACTCAGGAGGTTGAGGAGGGAGGATCCCTTGAGGACAAGGCTGCAGTGAACCATAACAGCTTCACTGCACTCCAGCCTTGAGACCCTGTCAAAAAACACCCCCAAAGATTTTCCTGTGACATATCAGCACTCCCTGGGCCATGCTTAAATTTCTCCATGAGTTCCCAAAATATGTCCTACCCCAGCCTGGTCCTTTATATGCACTCTTAAATGGCATAGTTTCTACTATAAATACAAGTCAAACTATCACTGGCCGTAAATATCAAATGTAGAAAGCGCAAAGCTGTTTGATTCTAGTCGGCTGCAGTGGCTGCTGGAGGTGAGCCCCAGGCCGACCCAGAGCAGCAGGCAAGGACCTCAGGCGCGGGTGGCACAGACAGCAGTAATGGCGATGGACATCCAGCACAGCTGGCGCTACTGCCACATGTAATAACTAGATGCCAGGGGCAGGTACAGCTGGTCCTGGGCATGTGCCCCCTGACAGCAGCACCACAGTGGGCAGAGGGCTCCTTGGGGCCTGGCCCGTCCCAGGGAAGGTTCACGGCCCTGCTGGGGGAGGCAGAGTCTGGGGCTCTCCCTTCACTACTCCTCCCTCTCCCCACCGTGTATCCCGCAGACCTGCCTCCTCATGCGGCAGCAGCACGAGGCCGCGGCCCTGAATGCCGTGCAGAGGATGGAGTGGCAGCTGAAGGTGCAGGAGCTAGACCCCGCCGGGCACAAGTCCCTGTGTGTGAACGAGGTGCCCTCCTTCTACGTGCCCATGGTCGATGTCAACGACGACTTTGTGTTGTTGCCGGCGTGACACCGCGGGATGGCCGCAGGACGCAGGCGAGGGCGGCACTGCCGCCCAGGGCTGCTGCGGAGCCCCAGGGGTGGAGGAGGGAGCGCCATGTCCACCCAGGCGGGGAAGAGACCCCGAGAGAGACTGCACTTGGCCACAGCGTCTCCATCCCTTCCAGACTGGTCCAGATGTCAGGGAGGTGAAACACATCTCTTCTCTACCAGCTGCCGTGGCGAGGGCAAAGCCCCCAGAGCCTCACTGGCCCCGGCGGGACGAGGAGACCATGCCAGCCGCACACATGGCAGCTTCTGTCTGAAAACGGTGACCTTCGGGCCCTTTTCTCCAGCCAACTGCAGAGGCATTTCAGGAGTTGAACGGAGTACATTTTTAAAATTTTTTGTTCCATTCTGATCAACTAAATAAAAATAAGGTGACCTGCAAGTCGGAGGGGCCGGCGTGCCACCCCAGCCGTGGTCCTGTTGCCACAGAGTTGCGACGGCCTGAGACTGGGCTTTTGACCTGGTGCAGAGCAGGGCGCTGGCCGTGCCCCTGCCTGGGCACGGGGACACAGAGCCAGGACTCCCCGTAGTGTTTTTAATGGAGTCAAATCCACGTGGTTTGTATATTTTTTCCTTTAATCTTGGGCATTTTGTTTCTCTTTCTGAGAACATAACTTGAAACACTACAGAGCCAATAATCATATAAAAAGTGTATCCGTAAGCGCTGTACAGTTTTATATACATTCACAATGTACTTTTGCTGCCTTCTAGATAATTTATTTTGCAACACATTACTGCACAGTTGTAAATAACTTATGTACTGTAACATCACTTTCAGTTATGTGTAAAGAAATAAATAAATTAATTAAAATGTTCTTTGTCGAGTGTGTCCCTCTCAGGAGAGGGACTGGATGTGGGATTGAGACACTGACACTCCCCCGACAGGCGCAGTGGCTCACACCTGTAAACCTAGCACTTTGAGACCAGCCTGCCCCACATGGCGAAATCGCATCTCTACTAAAAATACCAAAATTAGCCGGTGTGGAGGTGTATGCCTGTAGTCCCAGCTACTTGGGAGGCTGAGGCAGGAGAATCATTTGAACCCGGGAGGGGGAGGCTGCAATGAGCCAAGATCGTGCTGCTGCACTCCATAGTAGACTCTGTCTCAAGAAAACCTTTTTCAGCCAGGCGTGGTAGCTCACGCCTGTAATCCAAACACTTTGGAGGCCAAGGTGGGCAGATTACCTGAGGTTGGGAGTTCAAGACCAGCCTGATCAACATGGTGAAACCCTGTCTTTTAAAAAAATAATAATAAAACCTTTTTCCTCTCAAATTGTTAGCTTTTAATTTTGAAACAAATTATATTTTCCCCTCCTCCTCTGCCATCACACAGAACGGGAACACTACAAGATGACTGCTGCCTCCTCAAGGTGAAGGCGGCTCCTCGCGACGGGAGCCTGTTCCTCACCGCTGGACGCAGGCGCTTGTCCTGCACTCCCGGTGGACCGGCTCGGAGCCTTTATCTTGCTGCAGGGCCATGCAGGAAAGAAGGCCAGCCCTTGGCCATCTGTTCCACGAGGCCTGTGAGAAGTTGGAGAAAAACGGCGTCACTCCCCACAGCTCTGAGCACTGCAGCCCTGAACAGACCTTGTGGCTAGCTATTCAAGTCGCAGCTGGCTGGCTTGCAGCAGCACTCTCAGCTCCCTGGTGGCTGCAGCTGGCGAGGGAATCCAGGGAATCGCTTTGAGGGCCCTGGTCCTGACCAGAATGCAGCTCGGGCGAGGCCCCCGCTTAGATGGTGCTGTGCTCTGCGGGGTCCTGGCTCAGAGGAGGCCTGCTAGGGCCCACCAGCAACTGTGCCTCCAGGATGCTCGGCGTGGCGGGAGAGTGAGTTAATAGAGGCGCCTTGCCCTTTTCCTTCGGAGTTCTGTCTCCCCTCTACCTGGGGGCTCAGGAAGGAGTCGCAGCTGTAGAAACAGACCCCACAGAAGAGCAGAGCGTACCCGTGCATCAGACCCAGGGGGTCCTGGTCACTGTGTCCCCTGCAGAGGAGCCTAACCTGGGAGGGTCCCTGAGCCATGCCAGGCAGAGCTGGTGGTGGGGCCAGTGCCTTCATTCCCCCAAAGGCCCCTGCATGGGGTTGGGTGTGAGGCTGTGCCCTGCTTCCTCTGACTCCTGTCTTCTATATGTGCATAAGGCTTTTGTAGATTGCCTCCAGTTCCCTTCACGGCTCAACCTGGGCAAAGGCAGGGTGTTCCCACCTCATTTATGACCTTGGGGGTGGCGGTGTGGAGCAGCCACAAGGTTCCAGTATATATTTTCTGTGTTAGGGTTGGTTGTGGTTTGTTTTGGGTTTTTTGTTTTTGAGATGGAGTCTTGCTGTCTTCCCCCAGGCTGGATGCAGCGCAGTTGCGTCATCTCACCTGCATTCATGAATCCTGCCTCAGCCTCGCAAGTAGCTGGGATTACAGGCGGCCACCACCATGCCTGGCTAGTTTTTTATTTCTAGTAGAGACGGCGTTTCACCATGTTGGCCAGGCTTCCCACCCCTCTCTTAACCACAGAACTTTGGTCACAGTAAAACTTGTAAACCCTGCTTTAAAAGAAAAACCTGAATCAGCCTGTATCACACAGAGCGCACTGCAGTACCAGCCCACAGTGGTCACGGCGCCCCAGCCCCATGCTGTGCCTCCACAGGGGGTGTCGGGTGTGAGCCGCTCCCTTTCGGTGCCCACCCAGGTCTGCTGAAGTCAGCTCCTGGGTACCTGCCAGAGATGCTGGGCATGTGATTCCCATAGAGCCTGCTCCCACAAGGGACAAATGACAAAGCCTGCCGTTTTCAGAGAGAATATCTGTGAATAAATGCTGAGTAACGTCAAGAGTGCCTAGGACTGCAGGAGACTTCGTGCCAGCCTGGAGACCCTGCTGCCCGGGGCCACACATGTGGGCATCAGACCACTCTTGGGAGGCTCTGGCTGGAGCTGGAGGAAGATGGCACAGCCCCACCCACTCACCCACATGGGTGTGCCTCAGTGCCACCCAGCTCCTGCCTGGGGCCCGGGCTCTGGAGCAGGCTGGCTCTGACCGCCTGACTGGTGACAGGGTCCATACCCTGTAACTCAAGGCTTCCTGATTCCTTAACTTCCAGATGCTGTCATGACTGCACTTAGCAACAAAACCCAAAGCACAGAGCAGGTGAGTGAGTGGACCTCAGGCGCTTCAGGGAGGCCGGCGCCCTCCCTGGCACAGAGGCCCCCTGTCACGGAAGCCGGCACCCCTCCCTGGCACAGGAGCCCCCTCAGGGAGGCTGGCACCCCTCCCTGGCACAGGGGCCCTCTTAGGGAAGCCGTCACCTTGCCAAGGGGTAGGACCCCAGGCTTCAAAGGAAAATGGAAAAAAAAGGGGGGCTTTTTCTGTTACAGAAGAGAAGCTGGTGGCTTTGGTAAAACCTGGAAGGGGGTGAGAGGTTTTCATGAAAAGCCCGTGAGCTGTCAGCCCCCGGCACAGAGAGAGGGCCTGCCCTGCCCAGGTGACCTTGCAGCGTCTGGAGGACAGGGCCCCATCCAGACACTGGAAGTCTCCACTTCCAACTGGCAACTGGGCCTGAGCCTGGCTGGAGAGGAAGGGTCCCAGCACATGGAGACAAGCAGGACGGGGCCTCCATCTCCCCCGACACCAGGAAGCTGCTTTTCTCCTTCGTGTTGGGGGACAGGGAAGACAGCCCCACAGGAGATTAGAAAGAACAGGGTCCAGCAAAATGAAATACTGAAACTAGAGAGAGGAACCAGAAGGCAGCCACGGTATTGGCAAAGAGCTCAAGGACGGGGTGGAAGTCGCCCACCAGAGCTGGGGTGGTGAGGCCCTGTCACTGGGAAGAGGACGGGGTGCAAGTCGCGCACCAGAGCTGGGGTGGTGAGGCCCTGTCACTGGGCAGAGGACGGGGTGCAAGTCGCGCACCAGAGCTCGGGTGGTAAGGCCCTGTCACTGGGCAGAGGATGGCGTGGAAGTCGCCCACCAGAGTGGGGTGGTGAGGCCCTGTCACTGGGCACAGAATGTCTCTCGCATCTGAAATTACCTCTGACAGTGGAAAACTGAAGATGTGGCCCACACCTATGTTCCTGCTCGGGAGGCCGTGACAGATCACTTGAGCCCAGGAGCTCAAGCCCACAGCATACCATGAGTGAGCCTGTGAACAGCCACTGCCCTCCAGCCTAGGTGACAGAGCAAGACTCTGTCTTCCAAAAAAAAAAAGACAGAAATAAATAAAAGATACGGGCTGGGCGTGGTGCCTCACACCTGTAATACTAGCACTTTGGGAGGCCAGGGTGAGTGGATTACCTGAGGTCGGGAGTTTGAGACCAGCCTGAGCAACACGGAGAGAGCTCATCTCTACTTAAAATATAAAAACTAGCCAGACGTGATGGCGAATGCCTGTAATCCCAGACACTTGGGAGGCTGAGGCAGGACAATCGCTTAAACCCGGTAGGTGGAGGTTGCAGTGAGCCGAGATCACGCTACTGCACTCCAACCTGGGTGCGAAGAGTGAAACTCCATCTCAAAAAAGAAGAGAAAGGATACCAAGTTATGGCAGCAGCTACAGCCACTTACCCTGCAGTCAAGACCCACAAAATTAAGAAGAGGGGAAATAAGCAACAAATTTAAAGCAGTGGCCAGGTGCGGTGGCTCAACCTGTAATCCCAGCACTTTGGGAGGCTGAGGCAGGCTCAACACAAAGTTAGGAGTTCAAGACCAGCCTGGCCAAGATGGTGAAACCCCATCTCTACTAAAATAGAAACAATTGCTGGGATTACAGGCGTGATCCACTAAACTCAGCTAAAAGACTTAAAGTCAGCTTATATGAATTATGTACAAAGAACTAAAATGATAGTGTGAAAATTGTCTCACTAAACAGAGATAAATTATTCAAAAATAATTAGCTGGAAATTCTATAGTTGAAAACTAAAGTAATTGAATTTGAGCTGGTAGAAGCCAGAATCAGCAAACTTGAAGATAGTTCAATTGAGATAATGATATGTGGCCAGGGACGGTGGCTCAGTAAGCCCAAGAATGTGTGAGGCTGAGGCGGGCAGATCCCTGGAGCCCAAGGGTTTTAAACCAGCCTGGGCAACATGGCAAAACCCCGTCTCTACAAAAAAAGTAGCCAGGCGTGGTGGCATGCACCTATAGTCTGAGAGACTCAGGAGGTTGAGGTGGGAGGATTGCTTGAGTCCAGGAGGCGGAGGTTGCAGTGAGCTGAGATCATGCTGCCGCACTGCAGCCGGGGTGACACGGCGAGACTCTTGTTTTTGTTTTTTAAAAAGCTCAGAAATGTAAAAGAAGGTAATTTAAATAGAATACTAGAAAATATTAAACACAAGAAGGCAGTAACGGAAGAGGCGAGAAAGGAAAGTTGTACCACACACAACACACACACACACACACACACACACACACACACACACACACACACACA